GTTTGTAAACCTACGCATTATTACCCACTATTTACTACAATAAACTTAAGTTGTGTGTGTGTGTGTGTGTGTGTGTGTGTGTGTGTGTATGTATGTGTGTGTACACACAACACATGAAGGCAGTATGTGCCCATAAATCACAAATGCGAGGGAAAATTAGTAATCAAAGTGAAATAAGTTATATTTTTTGTTTCAAGGTAAAACTCAGGAGGAAGATGTCTGAATATATGCAAATCTAAATAGTTCCAAGTTTTGAAAATGTTTCTCGGAAACAAACTTTTCATAATTATAAAGTATTGACTGTTTTCTGTTACATGCAGGTGAAAAGGAGTATTTCAGACATGACAGTATAATATTTTCCACAAACTAAAATTAAAAAATAATAGTGCAAATGATGGTTAAAACATTGGATATTTTTCTTTTTGATGGTAACATATAATTAAATGCAGAAATTATGTCAAAAGATTCATGGGGCAGAGTGGTGTCAAAGTAACAAAAAATCTAGCTTCAAATATGGACAAAAATCAGTATCCAGAGGCAATGTCAGCAAACATTTACAACATATTGAGTGCACACAGCCTTCAACAGCAAGCCACACTATCATAACTTAAGGTCCCATGAAGCATTTTCTTTCATTTCAAACTACACTGCCTATAAATTACAAGGTATTCCGGTGAAATGTCCTTCCCTGAAAAATCATTTCAATGCAAACTGGCTACCCAAATTATATGAATATAAAGAAGATTTGCAGCATATCTTCCTTTTCAATGAAAACAAACCTGGTCAATTCCTTCCCTTAGTGAGTGGTTTGCTCTGGGTGTACAATTCAGCAAATCACATCAAATAATTGGACACTACAAAACATTAGATCATGTTCACTGTAACTAAGATTCTAGTTAAAAATAAAGGAGCAATTTCAAAGGATTGTCGACAAAACAGTTCGCAAAACCATGTTCTTTTTAAAATGCCTATTTTGTTCCATATCCTTTAAGTACAGCCTTACATATTTATTTTTACGTCTGATGAAGAGCTCCATCACTGGACTTCTCTCTTTCAGGTGCCTTCTATTTTTTTTCTTGTTATTAGGGAGAATCCTCTTAAAGCAAAGGCTGTATTTCCAGATGAGTTTCAAAACTACAAAGGAGATGAATAAGTCAGGAGTTTCCCAAAATAAACTACAGCGAGAGCTGATCAGCAACAGAGGAAAGACTTTAAGGCAATAAGAGGCATCAGTGCTGTGATGCTCCAACGTTCATATCCAGATTCAAGTTCTATTGAAAGAAGATCTTTGAAGTCTCTTTCTGGTCTGTTAACTATCTGACTCCTCCTCCTCCTCTTCCTCCTCCTCCTCCTCTGGTTTCCTGTCCACCTCAGATGTATCTGAAGATTCGTGGAGAAGGACGTACTCCCTGCTGCTGAACCCAAACTTCAGCACATCCTTTTCTTTCAATTCGTAGTAACGTTGAGGTTCAATCCGTTGGTTATTTAGGAAAGTACCATTGCCAGAGCCAAGGTCAATGATGTAAGGCTTGACTCTGCGGCCAACTGTACCATCGGCACGGGTGTACTCCACAAGCCTGCCAAAAACAGAAACAACCTTTAAACCACAATGAAAGAAGTATAAACAGCCACTTCACGCTGTTAATAAAAATGGAGATGGATCTTTCAGAATAACCTCAAGCTAGCTAATACCTCCATTTCCAAAAAATCTCATTAAATACAGAAAGTTAAGTCTCTGAAAAGATGCGAGGCACTCAGCCTGCCTAAAAATTTCTCACCATGAGCTGAAGTTAAATGAAAGCCTGTGCCACGTTTTAAACATTAAAAAGTTCAAGATTAGTAATATACAAGAGATAATTAATTCCGTCAACAAACAACTCCTCTGCCTCCAGCGGTGGGCAATCCCTGGTGCTCCCAAGGAAAGCCAGTGTGTTGGGCCAATCTGGCAATGCTCCTTTTAACCTTTAACCTATCAAGCATGACTGCAAGTGTTACTCCAGTTCCAATGTATGTCTGATTCTATTTCGAATACTGCTGTACTCTTTGCCTTACTTAAAGGCTGCTTATGGTTAGATGTGAGGAATCAAAGGTAATTTTGATTACTGCTAAAAAGATATGCAGCTGTTGTACATAAAAACTGGCTAATTCTGAAAAAGAAGATAAATTTATAGATTTACTAGTTTGCAGAGGGTTTTGCAACATACTAGTCACTTCTAGCCTCCACTACAATCTGGTTTCCTAGGCAGGCACAGTGAGTAACACTTACCGATACTGAAACACAGCATGCTGTTTGGAGCAAGAGGGGTGGTCAATAGGAATATCTGCGATTCTTCGGTGCCTGCCCAGCAGGTAAGCACTCTGTCTGTGAATGTACATGACTGGGAGAACTTCATCATTCTTAAAAGGGTAGAGACGCCATCGTTTCTTTGGAATCCGAGCTTCCGGGGGCTCGCTATATTTAATCACAACACCTCGGAAGGTGTTTGAATCCTCTAGGAGTGCACCAGACAGTTCAAAACTTGGTTTCTCCTTATTTGTTGGATCTTTGTCTTTATTTTCACCATCAGGTTTACCAAGGTCCAGAGTCTCATCACCACTGCTTGATTCATTCTTCTGACGATGCTCACGTCTTCTCTCGTTATAAAATTCCCTCTCCACTTGCTGCTCACGGAGATTTTGGGCATCCCTCTCTCTTTCATACCCTCGACCTCCTGGCCTTTCATTGGGATTTTTCCTTCTCTTTGAATGATCTCTGTGTCTGTCTCTGTCACCATTTCTATCTCGTCTGTGTTCTTGCTCTGACTGATCTCTGTGCTGTCGTTCCTCATGTCCTCTCCGGGAATGGTCATCTCGCTCCTGTAACAAAGAAAACCTTACAGTGATCTATTTAGAATTAAAGATGAAAAAACACAGGGAATTTTGTTTGGTCTTTAAAATCTGAATTTAATATGAGACTATAGAACAAAACTCAATCATCAAGTATACAGGTTTTTAAAATGTGGATGAAAATGACTTCCTCATTCACCTGCTAAGACCCATGTTCAGGTCTCTGAGTTACAGTAAATAAAATTAGCTCCAGAAGAGAACACAGACCTGCATTCCCTGCACTGAATTAGGGGTTGATGAGATGACTGACTGTTCAGGGAATATGTGACCATGAACTCATGTTTTGTAAGATAAATATAAGCAGAATCAGTTTTCAGTTACTTTATTCTAAAAAGTAGAGGTTCTTGAGTTACATATAATTTACTAGTATTTGGCTTCTTAGCTTAAATGATATATTATTATAAAGATGTATATTATGGTAGCACCACAAAAGCCCCACTGAGGATTATGCTGGGTCCTGTACAGACAGAAGATAATCCTTGGCCTGGAAGGTTTACAATCTAAAAATTAAATTCAAATATTTGATATTTTCTATGCTCTAACAGTTTGGTCACTTCCACACATGGAAAAATACCACTTAAACCAAGTTTCCAAACTACTGCTGACATTTCACAGACCAATGTTTAGAATAAATTTTCCTAATATTTTGTCTATTCAGTTTTCTGCATGTATCATTACTATCGACACTTGCATAAACCCTAAATCTTTCTTCCCTCAGAATTCTTCTGCTTTGCCTGCTTATTCCCTGCCTGAACTCAACAGCCACAGTTTTCTAGTCATTCCATTATGCAACCTTCTTTGTAAGAGATTCCTCTCATAGTTTATCTCACTTACCAACATCCCATATCTTGGTTCTCAGTTTCCCCAAGAAGGGTACCATGGACCACATGTGTGAGTAACACTCTTGTCTAGCTCTTCAATATTAAAGTTGGAAAAATAATCCCCGACTATAACTCAGTAATTTTTATGTTATTGATTTAGGCCCTGTCTACACTACAACTTATGTCAGCAAAACTTATGTTGCTCAGGGGTGTGAAAAAACCCCATCCCGTTGAGCAACGCAAGTTTCGCCGACAGCTTCTCCTGCTGACAAAGCTACCTACCATCGCTCGTTAGGGGTGCTTTAATTATGTTGACGGGAGAGCTCTCTTCTGTTAGCATAAAGCTGCTGACTACATAGAATCATAGAACAAGAGGTCATCTAGTCCAGTCCCCTGCACTCACAGCAGGACAAGGTATTAACTAGACCATCCCTGACAGGTATTTGCCTAACCTGCTCTTAAAAATCCCCAATTCCACAACCTCCCTAGGCAATTTATTCCAGTGCTTAACCACCCTTATGGCAGGAGACTCAAGGAGCTTGGTTTGTTTAGCCTGACAAAACAAAGGCTGAGGGGAGATATGATTGCTCTCTATAAATACATCAAAGGGATGGATACCAAAGAGGGGAAGGAGTTAAGTGAAGCACAGTATTCCACATTTTCAGTTTTTGCAGTAATTCAGCCAGAGGTTATGGGCCTAGTATAGGAGTGGATGGGTGAGGTTCTGGAGCCTATAATGTCAAGAGATCAGACTAGATAATCATGATGGTCCCTTGTGGCCTTAAAGTCTATGAATCTTGCTGCTGTCACCAAGGGGCCAAGCCAGCATACTACTCCACATGATCAGAATCCTGTGCCTGGGTGTGACAACACTGAAATCAACAGCACTCTGCAAATGGAACAGCTTGCAGAGTAAGGTGTACCATGACAAAATCCAGACTCTTACTGAATCATTAACAGCTAATGCCTGTGGATACTCAACCATTTACTGCAAAATCAGAGGTAGTTATAATGTGTTTGTTTTTAAGAGTTAAATATGTTCCTGGATGTACAAATTACAATAACTGATAAAAGAAAATATTGGGGTAATCAAGTGATAAATTAGTCACATCACCCCATTTAGACCCAGTTCCCACATTTACTCTATGCAGACAGACAATTGTGGTTTCACAGACCCCCACTGATTTCAAGGAGGAGGTTAGTCCCGTGGAGTAATTTTCAAGACTGGGGCCTTAGTGTTTAATATCCAGTAAATTACCTGCTTTACTTTGACTACAATATGATGAGGGCTTCTACTTCTTTTACTTCGAGGAGACTTGCTTCTTTTAGCAGAGGACTTGTTCTTTCTTTTTGCTGGTGACCTTTAAATATTAAAAAAATGATTTGTTGGGTCCACAGTCCCCAAGAAAAAAAGGAAAGGAAGAGAGTCTGTGCAAAATGCACAGGGTAATTTAACCTTAACCTACAGCTACCACTGCACTGTATTGTGTCGTGGGAGGATGGGATGGTGGTGAAGGGTGGGAGGGTCTCCCCACTGTGTGTATTTGGGGGTGGGGGAGATGAAGTGGCCTTAGAGGAGAAAGTGGGGGGATGAGGAGGGCATTGAGGGAGGGGCCGGGGAGGGATTAGTGGGGTCCCCCCAGCTCAAGGCGTCCAGCGGAGCCGCAGGGACCGCCCGAGAGGATGAGCGGGGTCTCCCCACTAGGAGCCCCCGGCCCAGTTGTAGCGGGGTAAGCGCTGGCGGCCGGTACCTGCTGCTGCCCGGCCGGGCCGGGCCCTGCTCCCGCTCGGCAGGGGGGGACTGGCTGCCCCGGGCGGAGCGGGAGCGCCGTGGGCTCCGCTTCTCTGCCCCTTCCTGTTGTTCCTGCCGCCGCCGCTTCCGCCGCCGCCGCTCGGTCTCGGCCTCCTCCATGGCTGCGGCCGGGGCCTAGGCGCCGAGTTTCGGCCGCAAGTCCCCGGCAGGCGGAGAAGCAGCGGCTGCGCGAGGCCTCCGCTCACCCGCAAACGGGAAGCGCGACTCCGTCTACGTCCACTTCCGCTTCCGGGGCAAGCGCGCCGAGCCAGCCGGAAGCACTCCTGCCGGGCGGCGGGGCTTGCTAGGGCGGCTGCTCGGCTCATGGCGTTCCTGCCGCGTCCGGGCCCGCTGCGCTCGCGGAGTGCGGGGCGGCGGCCCGGGATCGAGGGGCTGGAGGCTGACGGCGGGTGGCCGCGGGCGGGACAAGCAGGGGACGGGCGGGGAGTCCGCCCCTGTCACGCGTGATTTGCACGAGGAGCGGCCCCCCCCAGACCAGTACATTTCCACCCCTGCTCCGATTCGCCCCCTTTAGCCCCTGTCAAAAGCGGCCCGCAGCCTCGCACGGGTAAAAGGGCAGGGTGGAGGGCAGTGGCTTCAGCAGATGTACTGAGCATGCTCAGTAGCACCGTACTACGGAGAGCACTTTAGTACACTGCACCGGCCGCGCGCAGCGCGTTCCTGAGCCGGGCTCTCTGCGAGCGCCCCTGGAGGCGGCTGCTGGGCGGCCCGCTCAGGGATCGGCCGGGCCCGGCTGCCTTGGCCGCGTGAGCTCCGAGGTGCGGTTCCCCGCCTTGTTCTCGCTCACTTCTGAGGGGCTGGCCGAGACGCTGTACGCTCTGCGCATGCGCCATCGGCTACCTTCAGTACGCATGCGCGTCCAGCCATCGTCTGATCTCTTGCATACGAGCGCCGGGGGGACGTCATGACGAAATGACGCTTGGGCGCGGCGCGGCTCGTTGTTGCCATGGTGACGGTACACAGCTCACGGGGAGAGTGCGGGCCTCGGAGCCGCCATGATCCCCCCGGCGGACTCGCTGCTCCGCTACGAGACCCCGGTGCTGGTGAGCCGCAACCCGGAGAAGCGCTCCCCGAAGGTGAAGGCGCTGCGGGGGACGGGCCCGGGATGCGGGCGTGGGGCCGCTGTATGAGGGCGAACCGGGATATGGGGGGGGGAGGGATGCGGTAGAGGGGTCGGGGTTGAGCTGGGGGGTACAGTGGGGGAGGGGGTGAGGGGAGGG